AAAGATGGCAAAAAGAACCCTCGGGTACCAGAATGAGACAGTAAGAGAGAGAGAAATCGAGGGAGGGAACAAGGGAAAAAGAAAGTGTCATCTTTAAGCGAGGATTTGGCGTAATTCAGTTTATGCTACTGGCCAGAAATACAGTTTACATGCAAATGTTCTCCCTTCAAGTGCAGCTTGAATTCACTGCCCGAATGAGACAATACTTTGCCTTCGTGTCGCTACACCTCGTTGTTACCATTCTCCTTGTTTCCTTGTCTCCCTTTTACCTCTTTCGCCTAGACCACCTCCTCACATTGCCTTTCCTCTCTATCTCCTACTTTTACGCCTGCGATTGCCGAAGCTGCAAGCCGCCGTTTAACACCCTACCTCGGAGTTGCCTGCTCTGGCAACTGGAATACTGAGAGAGAGACCAGAAAAGTCCGGTCTTCCCGCCGGTAGACCGTCTCTGGCGCGTAGACAATTTGTAGGCAGATAAAGGAAAACACAAACTTAATCAGTCGATTATTGTGATTGGAGTTGGGATAGTTGAGTTTCTCCCACAATCAAATGCCACTAGATCTGACTGTGTCATTTGCTCTCAAAAATGTGTACCCATTCAGACTGGATTCGACTTTGGAATCGACTTCTGTCACTCCAACAGGGTTCGAATCCGAATCCAAATCCTGTGGGTTCCGGGGCATATGTGACTTTCACGGCGAGCTGGTTCTCGATCAAATAATATTCCACCATCAGTCCTTAACCCACTCTTAAACAGTCTAGAATATAAAATTTGTCTCCATGCGTAGTTGGGTTATATGAAGAAAAGCTGGGTTTAGAATAATTCCTTAGTGGGTTGATACTGGCATACCTTTCATTTGGTTTGAGAACGCGGATGGAAAGGATTCGTAAATTGGCCGTACTGGATACCAAAAGAGGGTTGTCTTGGATTTTTGACTTTTGATTTGTGCGAAGAAGACCTCGGCTCAACATCCTGCAATTTCGATGACTCTGCTCTGAGCTTTCGTCCGTCATGTGACGGACATCTTCAGAGCCAAAAACCATCATTTACAAAAAATCACAAAAAAACAGAAAACCAAGAATGGTGGCCGGCAGAAATTCGACTTACTTTTTGCACTCAACTTTGCGATGTTAATGAGGCCTCCGATTATTTGATTAGATATTTTGTACCTGCCCTACAAGCAGCTGGACAAGTGAAGTGGACCTATTCACAGCTTTTCTAGGTGTAAATTAATCAGCGTGTGATCCTGTATGTTGTGTGTATGGAATACTTATAAGTCAGTTGGCTCTTTCGAGCCCCAAGCCGGACTCCAGGTTAG